GGAACCCCAGTGACTTGACTCCCACAGCGAGAGTGCTAGAGGCTATTATCAGGAGGACACTGCTTCCCAGGTTGGGATATAGAGAGGACCTAACTCGCTTACAGCTCTGGCTTCTTAATGCCCTGATGCAGCAGACATTATTTGATATCTAGGACCTCCTTCTTTCAGAGATGGAGGACACTATAGCTGAGGGATTCAAGGGTCGCAGGCAGCTTCCTTATGCACACTGGATCACGTTTCTTATCCACAGAGTAGTGCTTGATAAGCCCCCTGGTATGATGGATGAGTATACAAAAGCCACCACGTGAGTTCCCAGACTTACAACCTGTCACAGAGGATCGGACACACCACTCCTCGGGCACCCAGACAGCCTAGCCGTCGTCCCGACGTGCCAGAGTCCGTAGCTCAGCAAGATGAGATCATCAGAGGGATTGCAGCCACTGAGGAGGAGGAGCTAGAGGCATAGCAGGAGGTGAGCGTGTACAATGACAGCTCTGATGACGACTACCAACCTATACCTCAGATGCCTCCACGCAGACATCGGCGTCAGAGGCCGGTAGCTCAGATTCTGCTCCACCTGCTCCATGAGCAGCAGACCCCGCCTCATTGCTATTCTTGAGCGGATGCGGCAGGATCGAACATGCGAGCACAGAGAGGTACCGCCAACTTCGCACGATTTCGAGGCTCGTCAGATGAGTTCTAGCGGCAAAGCAGCAGCTCATGGGATTCAAGCAAGCATGTAGTGACAGCCATTGGGGTTCCATCGCCACTGCCTTTCGCCCAGCTTGCATGACCTCCTACCACCGACGACTCCAAAGAAGAGACAGCCCGGTGGGCTCCAGAGTCGAGGGACGACCTCCGGCTCGATTTGCTTCACCGCCTATATAGGTGTCCCGATGGTTAGCCTCACCCGTGGTAGCCCCTTGATTCACTCCACTTCGAGACGGGCTTCACACAGAGCGATCTTCCTCGCTATTCGTACCTAAGACGTCGGTCTCGTGAGTCTTGGAGCATCCTTGGCGAGTTGACGGCATGCCTACTCCGCCTCATATGCATACCGCCGGTCCGTACAGCAGCTCGATCACACGACCGACTCAGAAGCTCCCTCGTCTGTCGCCTCGTCGTCGATCCCATGACAGACATACTTTGGCTTCACAGCAACCCCAGCCCCCCAGCTCGAGACCCGCACCGCTTCAATGACACTTCCTGCCACAGAGGGTCAGTCTATTCAGAGCTCAGGGTCAGATGATGATGGTGCCTAGTTCCAGCTTGCCCCACGTTCTTCAGCGCCCGGCTCGTCCGCTGCAGCCCCGCCCTAGGTTTTGGTGTTTGACGCCAAAGGGGGAGAGGGGTGTTCGAGTATGTAGTCTCAGGGGGAGCTACATTTAGGGGGAGCTAGTTATATAGTATTAGCTTATTATATACATTTGGAGTTTAATTTGTGTGATACACTATTACTTATGCATTCGTGTGTTTACTTTAATGCATACTATTATATATATGTGATAGTGCTATCTACGTGATTGTGATATTTGTGTGTGTGATTTCTACTTTGCATTATCTATATGTCATATCACTTGTGTTATGCTCATTTGTTTTTGCTTCCGCGTTTATACTTCGAAGCAAATGAGCTTTGTTACTTGTACTCATGCTTAATTCATATCCTTTGAGTACACTGTGTTGGCTTGGGTCATATAAGCTTGCCTAACTCTTTTGTTCTTAACAACAAAAGCTTATATGAACCAAGCCCTTCAAAAACCTCACTCTTTAACATACTCGAGGTGGTATTGTCATCAATCACCAAAAAGGGGGAGATTGAAAGCATCTAGGCCCCTAAGTGGATTTCGGTGATTAATGTCAATACAAGATTACTATGACTAACGTGTGTTTTGCAGAGGCAATTAAGTTAGGTCATGGTAATGGAGATCGATTGGGCAATTGAGGTTGTCATGCCCCTACGATGGAAATCGTTTCGGTTTTTAAAGGATGGACGACAAGGTTAAGGATAACTAGTTCTAAGTGTCAATTGAAGTTGGAGAGACACTTAGAGTAGTTTAGGACTTTGTTTTTCCTTTGGCCGTACTATGAAGGGGGGGTATGAACGGGTAGCTTGACCTAGTTGAGTCTAGTGAGTTAGGTGTGGTGCACACTTGTTAAAACTAGCTCTAGGTAGCTCCTATGAATGCCTAAGATCCTTTGGAGCTAACTTCATTCACATATGATCGAAAGTTGGAAGTGAATGGAGGGTCAAATACTGACCGGACGCTGGCTCCGGTGCGACCGGACGCTGGCCGCAGGGTCTGGTCAGTTCATTTGACTGAGGAGAACAAGTCTGGAGTGACCGGACGCTGGAAGGTCGTGTGACCGGACACTGAAGGCCAGCGTCCGGTCGACTCCAGTAAGGGTTCAGACTTGAGAAAGTGTGACCGGACGCGTCCGGTCAGTAGTGACCGGACCCTGAGTATCCAGCGTCCGATCGTTTACACTAAGCATCCAAGAGAGACCGGACGCGTCCGGTCGGTACCGACCGGACCCTGACAGCGTCCGGTCATCACGTGAAAACTGTTGCGCAGGTTGAACTGACCGGAGCGTCCGGTCAAAACGATCGGAGCGTCCGGTCACCCCGCAGAAGCTCATAACGGTTCGTTTTTTAGGCTGCCTTATAAATAGTTGCTCCACTCGTGAGTGGAGTGACTTTTGCTTATTCCAACAGCTGAGAAACACGTTTGTGAGTGCCAAGAAGAGCAAGGTCCTAGTGAGGTGTTTGTGATTTGAGAATCCAAGAGTGAAACCTCATTAGTGAATCAAGAGTAGACAAGTGTGCATCCATCTTCTCATTAGGCTTCGCGTGGTCAAGTGAGAGTTCGTGCTTGTTACTCTTGATGATCGCCATCACCTAGACGGCTTGGTGGTGATTGGGAGCTTGGTGATCACCCGGCGGAGCTTGTGGGTGACCCAACTCAAGTTGTGAGCGGTTTTGGGTGATTCGCCGCGACGGAGTGTTGAAGAATCAACCCGTAGAGAGCACTTGATCCTTGCGCGGATCAAGGGGGAGCTACACCCTTGCGCGGGTGCTCCAACGAGGACTAGTGGGGAGTGGCGACTCTCCGATACCTCGGCAAAACATCGCAGCGTTCCTTTCTCTCTCTATTTACTTTGAGCACTTACTTTGAGTATTTACTTTGAGCAATTCAATACTTGTTTCACATCCATAGAATTGCTTGCTAGAGTAAGTTTGGAACATAGGTTGCGAGGTTGTTGTGCATTAGTTTGATATAAACACTTTTCTAGGCACAAGGGGTTAATTGGTTTATCCGTAGGATTTGATTATTGCAAGAAAATTTAGAATTAGCCCAATTCACCCCCCCTCTTGGGCATCTTGATCCTTTCAACGGTAAAACCCCCCACATGCCTCTGGGCATCAACAGTATGGTAGGCGTCGGCATCTGCCATACCAGAAGAAGACGACGGAACCTCCCACATGTATATAATATTAACAATGTTGTGGGCGCCTACAATCATCATTGTACACGATGGCGTGGACAACAAAACTTAATAACATACGTAAACTCTCCTTCTCTCCCTTGTAAGGCCATCCCCTTCGTCTATAAAAGGGGATGTGCTCTCTCCCAATGAAGGGGACTATGAGACGATCAATCTCTAAAACACAGAGCACTCGCTCGAATACTTAGCACACGTAGGAGCTCCCGTCACTCTCGGCCCTTCAGTCCGGAGTCCGACCGGACCTCTTGCACCCCCTATCTTTCTCCCTTCCGTTTGTAACCCCAAAGCAAACTTTGAGCATCTGGGCTCAGGAATAAAGTCACCGACCGACTCAAACTGAACATAGGGCACGTTGCCTGAACCAGTATAAACCCTGTGTCATTGAGTGTTAGGCCACATCCGATCACAACGTATGACAAAACTATAAATATTTACGTGTTGGTCACTTTCTGCACCGACACGTTTGCAGAGCCATTGTCTTCCTCCAAGCGCGCAGCAATGCGGGAGCTCTTCCCCAAGGCTGGTGCCCGCAGGGGGCGAGCGGCGCCGCAGCCGTCCTGAGCACGGGATGGCTCTCCGTCTCTTCGTGGTTGTCACCTAGACGGCATCGCAGAGTAAGCTCTTCGGTCGCATATTTAGTTTCTTTGTTAGTCACAACAGTGTATGTTTCACCGCTTAGCGATGCCTTTTGTTTGTGTTTAACCCCATCACTAATGGTACCTCGCCATGGTGTGATGACGGGCGTGTAACCTTTCTAAAACTTCTTGTTAATGAAACACGTGGCATGCACGTTCTCGGAAAAAAAAAAGGCTGCAGAGTTCCTCCTTGTCCACCCACGCATCACGAACCAAAGCCCAGGCCACCGATCTGTCTTGCACACCCGCCTTCAACGTATTTGCTATCACCGCGCAATCGGTCTCCAGCACCATGAGAACATTAGGCCAACGCGCAGCAAACACAATACCTTCCCGACAGGCTGCCGCCTCACTGCCTCAGCTTCTTAGCATCCACGAAGTTTGTTAGTATGCGCCAAGCAACTAGCTGAACAAGACCATTATGATCCCTAATAACCACAAGAGAATTTAGGATCCGTTTGGAACACGGTAATTTTATAGGAATCACATAAGATTTTTTGAGGAATTGTACAGGAAAAAAACATAGGAACATAATAAATTTTGCCAAATAGACCCTTAGTCGTGGGCGATGCCGAATAGTCGGTGGGCGCCTGGGCGGGAACAGTTTGCAGCATTGCGGAGGAAGAAAGAAGACACAATGGCAATGGACCAATGGTGCTATCTCCATATATAAGGGTCCACGTCGTCGCATTTCCTCTTTGGAAATATTCGGAGTTATAATTTTTTTCAGATTTTTTTTTTTTTTGCTACTACTAGTACCTATTAGACACAGAACATATAATAGTTTGCGGGCAGTGAGCAGTTTTACAGTGAAGTAATCATCTAGAATAATGACGGGATTATGCTTGATTCGCGTTGATCCTATGGTGAGCCGCTGCCAATGCTTTCTTCTTCCCATCGATCACGGTAGCCCTCGTCCAGGGACCAGATGCACTTGAGCGCCTTCTCGTACATCTCGCACCTCCGCGGCTCCAGGTGCGGCTCGCCGACCTGGTCCGCCAGCCAGTTCAGGTACTCCACCTGCCCGTAGCAAGACATGCTCACGCAAGATCAGCCACACTGCCCAGTCGAGGTTTAGGCCGAGAGTTCAATGAGCGACTCTTACCCATCGAGGCCACAGTGTGTGGGTGTGGCGCTTCGGCTTCCCGGCGTCCTCCATGCGCTGGTAGTCCTCCTCCACGTCGGCCATCATGCCCTCCTTGCTCGGCAGCTTGGCACGCCCCGACAGGACGGCAGCGACCCACTTGGATTCCAGCTCTAGTGACGAGAAGATGATGCTCTGAAAAACACATGTAAGAAGATTTGTGGGAATAGTCGACTAGAGATGACTTCGATGTCTATATAAACAATGTGATATGCTCTTAAAAGATAATTAAATTTCATATCCATTTAGGTTTTGCACCTTGTATGGCAGCCCAACGAAAGAGAGATTGGGCGCATACTTGGGTGGGAAGACGTGCTTGTACAGTGGCCCGACGCGGTTGTCGTCAATGGTGAACCCATCCAGGTCGAGGAACGGGAAATGGTAGCGGTACCTGAAGGTGATTTCTTCATGCCGTGCTAATTAAATGTACTTTACAAAGGAGAAGACAGAGAGTACCATAGTTTGTGACTTTGTGTGCAATCGTACCCTGTGCAGTAAAGAATGGTGTCTGCAGAAACAGATGAACCTTCGGCAAAGCGCACCTGGCCATCATCTTGGATGCACTCTATCTGCTTATCATAAATCCACACTAGTCCATTAACAGAGGCTGCCATATGCGCATGTTACCTTGAAGAAAGTTCATATGAAGCAGTGGAGCTAAGAAAGTTCAGAGTTAGAACCTCGCCGTGCATCCAAGCGTTATGGTAGAGTTCAATCTTTCCAAGCCTGTCCTCAGAGTACCTAGCTGCGATATGCACTTCCTTTGCCACATGTGAGATTTCTCTAGCAATGTCAATTCCGCTAGCCCCCAATCCTACAACTACAACACTCTGCAATGAGAGTGTATCAGATTGGAACTGGTGAGGACAACCTGCAAGAAAAGGAGGCAGATGACAAGTACCTGATCTTGAAATGGTTCTGGTGTGCGATAATTGTGGCTGTGCATTTGCTTTCCCCGCCACTTGTTAATTCCTGTAACACACAAACATTGCTAGATTCTCTTGTTATCTGATATCACTTCTTGGAAAAGGGAAGGTAGAAGAAGGCACCTCGGATCTTGGGCAGCAGAGGCACCGAGCAGTGGCCGCTGCAGACGACGACGGCGTCGAATGCCTCCTCCACCACCTCGCCGTCCTCCCCGCGCCACGCCACCGCCCAGTGCTGCCCCTGTCCCCGACCGAGCGGCCGCACCCGCAGCACTTCGGCACGGAGCCTGACGTGCGCGGCGACGCCGGAATCCACGGCGAAGGCGTCGAGGAAGGCGAGCACCTCCCGGTGGCCCGGGAACGTGCGCGGATCGTCGGCGAACACCCGCCCCGCCAGCGGGAAGCCCGAGAAGCCCATGAGCTCGCGTGGCAGGTTGGTGCGCAGCGACGCGTAGAGGCTGCCGTGCACGGCGCCGGGGGCGCCCGGGTCGCGGCCCAGCGGGTCCGCGTCCGCGCGCGGGTCGTACGCCCAGGTGCCCCCCACGCGGCCTGACTTCTCGAAGACGGCCACGGCGTGGCCCTCGCGGAGCAGCTCGCGCGCGGCCACCAGCCCCGCCGCGCCCGCGCCCACCACGGCCACCTCCGCGCTCCGCCGCATCGGAGCTCCCTTTCGGGTTCAGGTCTGCCTTGGGTTCGTTTGGTTGACTTCTCGTGGACTGGTGCCGTGGTGCATCGGCGGTGGGATGGGGATGGGGATGGGGATGGGGATGGGGGGATGCGATGATCGGGTCCTCCCTGGACCCTGGTCCCTGCCGTCGTGGCGTGGCGCCTCGGCATGCGGCTCGTGAACGGAGTCTGTGGTCTATGCCTGTGGAAGCGTGGGGGTGTGCAATGAACACGGGTGCCAAAAATCTTGACACGTTTAGATCCCATAAATTGAAACTAATATCTGCTTCCCATTTTTAATTTCTCTCAGTTCCTAGGAACCAAACAGGGTTTTAGCATAGGCATTCATGCGTTGTCAAACTTGTTAAGCACGAACCGATCGATCAGTGTTATTGGCTCCGTTGTACCGGGCATCCGACGGTGCGAGGGCCGAGGGCGGAGGGCCGAACCCCAGTGACCTTTTCGTTTTTTTTTTCCGTGCTGAGTACTTTCGCAGTGCAAAGTTTGAACTGGTGGTTCACAGGTTGTTCTCCCGTCTATAGGTCCGTTCGAATAAGCTGTTGCGGCCGCACACGGTGCTACATTTGTGTTCAGCTTTAACAACAGCTGAATTTATTTATGCGGCACCCGTTTGAGTATAACATATGAGTTCCTCTACAAACCGTAGGTAATTCTTTAGAGAGAAAAAATCTAGTAGTGATGATGATTAGAGTTTATCAGATTAATAACCAGATGTTTCTAATTGTTATGAAAATTTCTATGATTTACATTTTATCTAGTGTGTTCATCCAAGAAATGGTGGTTTTAAAGCGAAATAGTGGTTTTCTCCTCGTTTTTTTTTAACTTTGTGGTTTTACCCCTGCGATTTTAAAACGAAGACTTTGCCTCTATTATGTGAAGTCTGCCTAATGGTGTTAACTTTTTGACGAAATGACAAGTTTTCCCATGTGTTTTTACCCATGTTTTATTTTGATATTTGCGTTTTTACACCTATTTGATATGAGCATTTTGGCAATTTTGATACAGTGCAAAAGTTAATAAGTTTGAGAAAAAAATTGACAACATTTTAGCTTACAATCCATATAATCAGAAATTAATATCACACAACAGATTAATATCACATATTGCATTAATGGCCGCAAACTAGATCCATATAACATGCCATCATACAGTATCATATTAGATGTCAACATACAAGTCCATATTAGATGCCAACATACAGGTCCAAATGGCATATCAAACACCAACATATAGGTCTAAATGACACGTCAAACAAGAATAAGAACTAGTAGTGAGTTTACTATGCAACTAGTAAGCTACATATCAAACATTGAAACCTAACAAAGTGGCAAGCCTCCCATAAGTTTCTCCTCCTCTTCCCGTCTTTCCTCTTCCCCTTCCTAAAGCACTTGCACTTTTATATGAAAAAGAGCAGAATTGTGTTAGTAAAGTTACCAAAATATATAGTAAAGAGAATCAATGCTGGTATGTCTTACTTTGTCATATTGTTGGCCTCTCCTGGCCCTCATCTCTTCCCCTTCCCCTTCCCTTTCCCCTTCCTGTAACACTTGCACTTCACAAGAACGGAGTAAAAACATATTAATGTAGTTATTAGCAATGCTTAAATTTGCACAAAAATAGTAATTGACATAATGCATGGATGACATATATTGTCTCATTGTTATCCTCTCCTGAATCCCTTCTCGAAATTTATCTCCATATAATCATTCTCCAAATCTTGCCACAAAGTTATGTATTGTTTAGAACCCCACGAGTAGTGCTCAGCAATGAAATCAATTAGTTGCAGCAGCCCAAAGCTATGCGTGTCAATAACCTTGTTTGGCAAAGTTCTATCTTCCCACCATGATTTTGGACCAGCATCTAGTAAGCTGGAAAACAACCGAACCCTAACAACAAGTTTCAATTCTCTATGATTAGGCCTACAAATCACAACAACGAATGTACAGCACTGGTAGAGAACAGAGCTTTACTCCCAGTGGAGAACCCCCTCTAGTCCCGGTTCCCCACCCGGGACCAAGCATCCGGGACTAAAGGGGGTCCTTTAGTCCCGGGTCAGGAACCCTTTAGTCCCGGTTGGTAATACCAACCGGGACTAAAGGTTATTTTTTTCTTTTTTCTTTTCTTTTTATTTTTTTGTTTTCTTTTCAAAATAGGTTTTCGAAGTCGTATTGTACGCTGCTAATAATACATTTATACGCGCGTATAGTATGTTTCGGTTCAAACACAATGGACGTATTAAATGACACAATTCAAGCATAGAACTATATATATATATGCATGCATGCATCATATATATATTTACATGCATGCATGCATATGTGTATTTTACATTATATTATTTTATGTGTATATATTATAAAAGATTGCATTACAGTTGTTGTGATATAACAAGTTTCCTCTCATCCTCTAGCTTGGCTTCCATGGCAGTGTTGGGTCGAAGTAGAACTCGCCCTTGGAATTGATGACCTGGTCATTAAAAAATCCAGCTATAGACTCTTAAATTGCTTTGAACTGGTCTTGCCGTATGACCTTTTTCTCCAACCATCGAGCCTACAGGTTTGAATTAAAGGAAAATAAATTAATATATATACATACATATATATATATATAAAGACATAGTAACACAATCAATAATAATAATTAAATGAATATATAGTGTATTTTTAACGTACTTTGAGTCTCTCTGTAGGAGTTCTTTGGGAGACCTGCTTGATAAACTCGCAAACATAGTAACCACAGTAGTTGTTCCCCTGTTCCTGCCTCAGACATCACTTTATGAGAAAAAGATTTGTCATCCAATCTGGTGATCCGGTGAAAGCTATATATTTAATTAATAAAGATGATGCGATTTAGAGGACTTACTTTCAAAGGGATTACATTCAGTGGCGCTTCGCATTTTCCCATGTGTTGCTTCTCAATAAAGGTTTTCCAAACACTGTCCAATAAAAAATTTGCCACGTCATCAGATATAGTTAATCATCATATGTTTGTGTGTATATATAGTTGCTAGAGATACCGAAATTACCTCTGGATAATATCTATCATATCTTGGTAGTCTTGTTATGGTTTTCTCATCGAGTCATATGATAATATATGTAGCTAATAATAAAAAATATATACTTGGCCAATATCTTGTTGCTCATTTTGTTCAAGAGATAAGTACTGACTCCCGTCATCTGCATCCTCTTGCACGTTATTTTTAGCACCATCATCGCCGGCAACTTGAGTGCTAGTGTTGATCAAATTCATCATCAACTCCTCCTCATCCATGTTTCTCGGGTCGGCCATCTAGCTTCAAAAAACAAAACCAATATATAGTACATTAAATCTTTGCTTACATGCGTAAAATCTACGAACAATATGCATTATTAAATCTTGCCCCACGGTCACGGACGCAATTCGCCACACTAGGGCGAACTACGTCGGTACTAGGGCGAATTAGGGCTATACATAAATGGCCAAGGGCGAATTGCGTCGGTGACTAGGGCGAACCACGTCGGTGACATCAACAACGCGGTTCGCCCTAGTCACCAACGAAATTCGCCCTAGTGTGATTGTTTAGCGTTAACGATAACGATAATACGAATGTTGATTGACTAGGCCGCGAGATAGGGCAGTGTGACGAGAGTGGCGGTGCTCCGCTCTGCCGTATATATGTTTGTACACATGGGTGAACGAGGGCGGTGGTGCTCCGCTGTATAAACCCTAAACCCTAGGGTGAACGAGGGCGGCGGTGCTCCGCCATATAAACCCTAAACCCTAGGGCGAACGAGGGCGGCGGCGCTCCACCGTATAAACCCTAAACCCTAGGGCGAACGAGGCGGCGGTGCTCCGCCGTATAAACCCTAAACCCTAGGGCGAACGAGGGCGGCGGTGCTCCACCGTATACATAGAAACGCATGGGCGAACGAGGGCGGCGGTGCTCCGCGGCGTATATATACATGCATATGAATACAAATGACAAAAACATATGGATCGCGATCGAGGACAAGGACGTACGGCAAGACGAGCAGCGTGGTCTCGACGTCGGCGCAGAGTGGGCCGGGGCGGTTATCGGTGCAGTAGAGCGGACTGGGCCGTGTCGGCGTGGTGGCGACCGGTGTCGGGGGCGCGCACACTGCGGTCTCTGCTGATGACGATAACGTGAGGCGGGCCGGTGTTGGGGGCGCGGTGATGAGGAAGACCGACGGCGCAGCGTCGATGGCCGCGCGCACGAGGCGACTGAGGCGAGGCGGCCGGCTAGCCGAGGTACTGCCCGAGGCGAGGTGGGGCGGGCTCCAATGTCGTGGGCTGGCCGGCTCTCTGGTGTTGGGGGCGGCCGGAGAGGCGTCGTCGGAGTGGCTGATGCTGGCGAGGCGACGGCGGCGGCGGCAAGTGGTGGCGGTGGCGCGGCAGTGGCGGCGCCGGTGTTCGAGGCGGGTGGCGACCGGCGTCTGGCAATGACGAAGCGTCTTGGCAGCGCAAGCAAGGAAGACGAATCGGCGACGGCGCGAGGAAGAAGAGAGAAAGGGCGGCGGTGTTTGACGAGGAAGAAGAGGAGGGGATCGATCTGCGCCAGGCACTGGCGCTTATATACCAGGGAGATTTACTCTCGATGCCAGCCACCAGCCGGGACAAAAAGACTTTTACTCTAGGTGCGTGTTACCAACCGGGAGTAAAGGTCCTTTACTCCCGGTTGGTAACACGCACCGGGAGCAAAGGTTTTTTTGGCGGGCCACGAAACTGCAGCCCACCTTTACTCCCGGGTGGGCTTCCCACCCGGGAGTAAAGGTGGACTGCAGTTTCGTTTCCCGCCTGTTTTGAGCAAATTTTTTTAATAGAAATGCAATAGTCTTGTTAAATACATAGTAAATTAAATAAAAGGCATAAAATTATTTTGTTAAAAATATGGATTTTCTTTTTCTTTATTGCACATAGGAAAAATCTATAACCTAACTTTTTTTATTTTTTGTTATAATTATAAAACATAAT